TTGACTCACTAAAGCGATTCTCCATCTCAAGACAAATTTATCCAAACTCATTTTCCTAATAAAAAAGAAATACAATAAAATCTAATTAAATCAATTTCTGCATCCGAATTATTTCACTAAATTAAACCATCCTCAATTAGAGCGCATTCACAAATTCAAACTATCAAATTTCAAGTAAACAAAAAATCCTCAATATTCTTGATTATTAATAATTTTAATTTTTAAAATAAACCCATGTGGCAACTAGGAAGCATGTGTCATAAATGCAGAATAAATTGGATACAAACTTAAAAATCAAGGAAATATGGAACGATTGAGCGGTGCGGCGGTGCGGCGTCAATTCAGCAAGACAACGAAATCCCCAGAGGCCAGAGCCAAGGCAGCGACATCCCCTAAACTCGTAATTCATAAACTGTCCGTCAGGTTTTATTTTTAGAGAACTTCTGCTTTTTTCATTCTAGTCTTCCAAATGTTAGTGAGTTTTGTTTTTAGACTTTTAGTAGTTTTAGCTGCCTGCACATTTGGCTACTTTTTTGCATTTTAACTTTTTTTGTTACTTTTTGTTTTCAACCCTTAATAATTTTTTTGTTTTTTGATAATTTTATATCTTGTATTTTAATTCAGCTAAAATTTAAATATTTTGCATTAATTTTTTATTATATAACTGTAACATTTTAATATCTTAATTATCAAATATTGGTATGAAGTGGAAGTACTGATTTTTTTCTTAAGTAATAGTAATACTAGTGAAATTTCGGACCCAAAGCACGGACATGTGCCCCCTAGCCCCCATTAGGTCCTCCACCGTTAAGTGTCTATTTGGCAAGTCATTTTTGTCTCATGTGCCTCACGGCTCCCACCGGCCATATTGTAGGGTAAAGTTCTTTCAAAAAAGAAAGATAATTAATTGCTATTAATGAAATCATAATTCAGTACATCAATAATAAAATGAGGTGGACTAAATAATCAATACTGAGAATCAGACATAGAACTCGTTGTCTGGGGCGGAGCTAGGGGTGCCTAGACTAGGCACTGGTCCACCCTAAATTTAAAAAATGTCAATATTTTTAGTGTCTTGTAAAAAAAATTTCAATAATATTCTTTGTACCGGCCCAGTTTGACCCAATGCCCTGGCTCCGCCCCTGCTCGCTGCCTTTACCATCACATGAGCAGCTCGGTTCGCAGATCATCTAACATGAGAAAAAGACACACTGACAACAGTAAAGTTCTTATTTGATATTTTTGTTCAGAACTTTATTTGAGTACGTGTATCGTAGGAAAACACTCTTCTTCTTTTTTGTAATCCCGTTGTCGGGGCTTACGCTCCTATAATCTTGGAGTCTATGAACTACCCTCCAAAGCCCCTAGACAATTAATCCGGATCTGATCACAGTCAGCCTCGTCAGTACTGGCTCCAAAGAACGAATCCAGCAGGACTTACATCACCTTTCAGGTTGCTCCTCCCACCACACGAACCCGCTACCTTCATTATCATCCTCTCCCTTCTCAACCGCTGAGCTCCGTGAAGGTAGGAAAAATTGTTGAGAGCAAGACCTCCCTCCTCTCCCCTAAATGTGTCTAGCGAGATTCAAACCCGAGACCTCCGCTAGGACATGGTAACCTTCCACCCGGTGAGCTGGAATAGTTGGTTTACCAACGACTCCAACGAGGCTAGTTTTCCTCCCACTTCATCTAGTCTTAAGTCATCTACCGAGTATCAAACAAGCATTGTACATTAAATTAATTTTGTTTTACTCCATTTCCCCACCTCTCCTTGCACCTTTTTGCAACTAAACAATACTATCTCCGTCCCATAAAATAAGTCTCATTTTAATTTGGATCGGAGTTTAAGAAAGTGGAAATAAAGTGAAAATGTATGGTTGTGGTTGAGTAAGAAAAAAGGTAAATGAATGTTAGTCACACAAAACTTTCTAAAAAGGGAAATGAGAACAATTTTTTGGGACGGCCCAAAAAGGAAAGTGAGACTTATTTTATGGGATGGAGGGAGTATGTTTAAGAAAAAAACATTGACGCTAACCATTTGGACATACATTCATTTATTAAAAATGTGGCTTAAATTATTATTATTATTATTATAAGACATTATATCTTCTTCATCATCAATTGCATTTGATCAGCCATTAAGATTGCTCTCAAGTTTCAACTATTAAGAAAAAATGCATAGAATGGGTTCCAACTAAATGAATTGAAAGCCTTAACATATACGAAACTCCGAAGCATTACAAAAGTCTATTTCCTTTTAAATACTACTGACTTTTAAATGCAGTGATATCAACCAGTTGTTAGTTTCAAAATAGTCAAAAATACGATACGATTTCAATGAAATGCCATACAGCCCACTTCATAAGTTCATACGGAGTATATCTTTACAATAAAACAATAAAAAAGGAGAGCTTTGGTGGGAATTAATGATTTCTTTTGTCAAATAATTTGTGGATTACAAACATTTCTTACACATTTTCTCACATTTTTCTCTTCTTTATACAAATCTTCACGTTCAAAACTCGATTTAGAATATAAATCAGGGACTGAAAAAATAAGTAAAGTCTGGATAGACATGTTTAGATATTGGTTCAGCAATCAACAACCTCTCGAATTCAAACCGCCAAGCTGAGTCGAGGGTCTGAGCCTGCGGGGTGCTCGATGTGGATGGGGTCAGGGACGACGAGATCATCAGGCTGACTTGGCATATCCTGGTACCGTTCAACTACATTTTTTTTATAGAAAAGAATTTAATGCAAAGATTTGGTCACATCCTCCACCAATAAGTACATCTCACTTGTCATTAGGGGCGTGCATGTTCGGTTTAAACCGGAAAACCGGATCGGAAAAACCGGAACCGCATCGAATCGGAATGATATACAGTCTAGTTTTCGATTATGAAAATTTAGAAAACCGGTTTCCGGTCCGGTTCCGGTTTTAAACCGGATTATTCCGGTTTGAACCGGTTTTGCTATATTTTTAAACATATATTTACTAATACTAATATAATAATAGTTATAAAATAAAAAATAATACTCCATACTAATAACAATACATAATAGCAATCAATTTCATAATGATTATAATATATATTATCCTAATATTATATTTATCCATTCATTTTTATTCTCGTAATAATAAAACTAACTAATATATATTATTCTAGTCTCAAGTTACTCCAATATTTGCTCACTAAAATTAATTAAAACGAGTTTAGAAAACAATAATAATAAAAGTAATATTTTTAATAATAAGTACTCCATCTTTATCAAATGATTAGTAGCTTTTTTAGTAAAGAAAAATATTATTTATTTAGAAATCGGATTTTCCGAGCCGGTTCCGGTTTTGAACCGGATAAACTGGTTCAGTTCCGGATAAAAACTGAAATACATCCAGTCTGGTTTTAGGTTTCCATATCATGGCAAATCCGGTTCCGGTCATGGTCAAAGCATCGCAGAAGGGAAAGGCCGAAGGGTATGGTGAAATGGACACATACGTGACTCCTAGCGAATGAGGGTGATTTTGAAGGTGAATGGAAAATCAATAGTGGTAGGTATACAGCTAACATTATACGTAGTACCAAAAGAACCGAGAAAAGCTATTTGTATACTTTTTTGTAGACATTTATTGTACACACTCTCTTAGTTACCTGTATACACAAGGAGCTCATTCCGAAGCTCCTGTGTACACAGGCAACTAGGCAGTGTATACAACAAAAGTGTATAAAAAGTGTACAAGTAGCATGGCTCAAAAGAACTAAAGTAATTACGGAGTAGTTTCAGCTAGTCATATCAAACATATTTAATTTCTAAAGTATTTTTTTAATTAATCGTGTCAAATACATTAATAGTTTTTTATATATGAGTATTTTTGTGTAATAGAAAAATGAAAAGCAATTTAAAACACTTCTTCATTTACTTCAAACTTTGAACTTCTGAATTCTTAATTTAACGAGAAATTGTCAATTGAAAACACTCACTTTTGCTTTTTTAAACCAAAAGTTGAAAGTGTCTCTCTCTTTAGAGAAATGCAACGGTCTCTCCCCAAAATTAGAGTTTAGGTTTTTTGCAAGCCTCGTGGGGCTGGTGCGGTGGTACTTTCATCGTGCCGATTCAACACAAAGCGTGGAGAATATGGTTCATCAATACAACAAGCTAGATATTAATAGAAAGGAGAATAGCTTCAAAGATCTAATGATTTCAATATGACGCCCGTGTAGAGGAGTTTGGATCAGGAAAGATAAGAGCGGTGAATGGCTAAGCAGCAGAGAAGACAGATAGTCACACACACAACCACAGTATGCTAGTTTGTAGTGTGCACTAGGGAAGTAAACATTTATATGCTAATATTGATATATGAATTAAACATTTACGACGCAGATTTGCACATCAGATTATTTTTCGAAATAAAAGTCTATGATGTTATGTCTTTGTTTCAAAAACCAAGTCAATTAGGGTCAAAACTGGACAAGACCGGATCGGAAAATTCAGGCCCGGATCGGTCTAGACCGGTTAGTAATAGGTCCGGTCTTCAGTCCTCATATATTTAAGATTCCGGTTTCAGTCCTAACCGGTTCCAGTCCAGTCCGGTCCGGTTTTGGACCGGTGAACACCCCTAGTTGTAATGATCTAAATCCTAATGATGTTAATATAAGCGGTTTTTCATTTCAAAAAAAATCAAAAGCATTTTTTTAGTTTTTGCCCTAAACAAAAATCCTCCAGGAAGTGATTGACTAATAGGGAATTGTTTTTAAACCTGGAGAAATGAATAACTGGATGTTGCCATAGCGCACTCACACATAGGAGTAGACATGGTTCTAATTATACAATAGTATTCATTTTAAGCATTTAAGAACATGCCCTAGTATTCATTTACATGCTTGTTTCATCAATGAGCAACTTCAGCAAAATTTCAGCAAAATTTAGCCCTACAAACCAAAGTGAACGCTGAATTTTGCTTCTATACCCTAGAGTAGTAATAACAACAAATCAACAATAATGTAAATGTACGGAGTATATAATAATACTAAAGTTCCTCAAAAATCGCGATAAAGCTTAACACATATACTGGAGATTAATTAATTATAAAGATTGAAACAGTGTCATTTCTTCTACTAAAATTCGAAGAACAAAAAAGTTAGGAGCTAAACAACCGCCTATACAGCTATGAAAATAATTATCTTTTGCTAATTTCTTGTCCATGTGAAGCAAATTAAACTCAGCAGCCTAAGCTGTAAACTGAATGGTAGAAGTGATCATTTTAGTCCCTATAAATGGTCACCATTTGGTCCCCATATTGTTCATACAAGAATTAGAATCAAATCCCATCCGCAGGGTATTCTGAACATCGTTTTCCCACACGTTCTGCACATAACACCAGATCTTAATCAACAATTGTTATTCACAGAAAGATCAACAATCTTTAACACAAAGATCAAAGCATACAATTTCTTAATGGCCCGTTTGGTCATAATTATTTGGTCAAAATGACTGCTTATATGGCTGGAAAAACGTTTGGTAACATCCATTTCAGCCATACAAGTGAGTGACTAAGTGGCTCCATACCATTGTTTATTGGCATATCAGCCAAACACTAATTTTTATTAAGGCAGAAGGTGTACTATTTTAATAATGGCAATTTTTGTCTTACCACACGGCCTCCAAGTAAAAAACTGCTTATTCTGCAGATAAGTAGAATACGCAAAAAAAACATATAAGGAGCTAAGACTTATTCTACCAAATGGAGCCTAATCTTTTACCTGCTGCAGTGTGTGAAATGGTGCTGTGTTAGGGAGACTGCTATACGTTCCCGGTGGAATACCGCTGCCAGGGAAAGGAAGTGATGAGTTGAATCCTTGACCAGGAGGTCCATGAAGAGCTCCGCTATTTATGCCATGCGTGTGAAGAATCTAAACAGAAGTAAATCGTTCTAGTAATTAAGCTTCCCATTTAATTTCTTTCTAAAAGTCATTTCATATGTATGTGTGTGTTAGTGTGTAGAACAGCCCATTTAACTTACGTCCTTGGATAATACTCTTTCCATGTCAAGGTTCACCTCTGGATTCACAGTTGCAAGTTTCATTGACAGAAACTGGAAAATGAATGCAAGACCAGAGGTTGTCATCATCAACTTAAAAAAAAAAAGAATTGTGTCTGCATATTGCAGATGGATCAATTTAGTTAAATAAAATGTCTAACCTTAATAAAACAGAATTCTTATTTTGGTCCAGACTAGAATTGAACAAAGGCTTGACATATGATTTCTGCTTACAATTTTGGGAACTAGGGCTAAAATATACTCCGTAATTATATTTGTTCAATTATGGGTGCCACTGTTTAATACTCCCTCCGGTTCTCAAACAACTTCCCACTTTCCTTTTCGGGAAGTCCCGAAATTAACTTCACACTTCTTCTTATTTCCTTATTTGGCAAATTATCTACACCAAAACAGTGCAAAACAGTACAAAACAGTGTCAAACAGTGCCAAACAGTGCACTCCACAGTAAAGTCAAATTTATTTTCTTAATCTGTGTGAAGTCAAACTGTGAAGCTCTTTGAGAACCGGAGGGAGTATGAGTTAACCTATCTCGTATCTCTCCAAAAATAAGAATTATTGGCTACTTCTACTACCTTTACTACTCTAAATGTGCATAAGACCCATGTTTTACGCATATTTGCAATGACTTCTTTATACAGAGTAATTTGCAGAAGAAAAACCTAAACATATATGCATGTTTTTCATAATCATACCCATATTCAGCGGAAAAACAGATAGGGGTGGGTGTACTGTAGCACATTTTTTCAGCGTATCAACCTCACCATCATTACTTATTTTTCTTAAATGGCTGAAATATAATAAAATGATCTATTCTGTCTTCTTTTCTACATATGTACTCCCTCGGGTTCTCAAACAAATTCTCAAATTGACTTTACGATTTTTAAGAAAATTAAATTTTTGCTTTTGACTTTCCCATCATATCCTTACAAAAAGTAGATTAGGTTTAGTGGGGGGATAAAAATGGGTGTAAAGTAGGTAAATAAAGGAATGAGATCTTTATGATAAAAAAAGTAAGGGGGAAGGATAACTTTGTGATAAAAAAATTGCCGAAACTAGAAATGAGAACTTTAATTTGGACTTTCTGGAAAAGGAAAGTGATATCTGCTTTGAGAACCAAAGGAAGTATCATTTTATTAAATTACTTCAAGAAAACTTATGTTAGTTACTAGTATATTTTAGGACAACTCGTTTGAGACATATGAACCAGACAACAATTTCACTCCCTTCTGCCTAAATGCTTACAACAACAATGACAACAACAACATCCAAGCTTTAGTCGCAAAAGAGCTTGAGGTCGGCTAAAATGAATCAACATATGAAATTGAAGTTAAAAAGGATAAAAAGATCAACTCTCCACATGTATACTCTCTACTCACTTCAGCCTAACGGTCTAATTTACACTAAATCACTTTAGGCTGACAATAAACATGATAATACGAAAGCAATAAGCCAATTGCTTCAGCATGCACTTGTAGATCTGGACTGAATATAATGAACTGGTTTGACATCTAACATTAGTAATATATGAAGAAACAGTCGTGGACAAAATATTCTGCATAAAGTTGCTAAATATGTCACTTTTAGTATATCACTATCAACACCACCACCACGACTAGTGACACCATCCCACATTTCAATATGTCATTGTCATTAGCAGATACTACATTACTACCTTCGTCCCATTTTATGTGTCTCGTTTTGGTTTGGCACAATTATTAATAAAGTGGTTGAAAAAGTAAAAGTTGTGGTTAAGATTTGAGTATAATAAAGAGAAACTTTGTAGACCACATAATTCTTTCCAAAAAAAATGTGACACTTATTTTGAAACAACCCAAAACGCCAAAAAGCAAAGTAAGACGGGTGAAATGGGACGAGGAGTACTTTTTAGTATGTCACTATCAACAACAACACCATCGCTAGTAAAACTATCCCGCGTGTCAATATGTCACTGTCATTAGCGAATACTTTTTAGTTTTTCCAGCAACTTCTACACACTTGCCGTTGAACTTTGCAGAAAAAAAAGTAAGGCCAGAAGTTGGCGGGAATGGCGGCGGTGGCCATTGGGAAGTTGGTGGGTTGCAGAAAAAAGATGGGGATAGATTTAGGCATTGAGATAATTTGGTGTGTTTTAGAAATTTAAAAGTAGCCCTATGCAAAACACGTGTCAAGGGGATAGACACATGTTATATATGACTATGTTTTAAGCCTATGAGGATGATTCACGTCCAAAAGTTAGTCAACCTACTGATCATTGATGTTATGCAAACAACAAAAGATTGCTCTACAAGATGTTTGCCAAACATTATACCTCAACTTGTTGCTGGAGTGATTGCACATAGTTGATAATCTCATCAAGCATAACTGCCTTCCCAGTGATCTAACACATCCAACCATTTTAGAAAATAGAATATCAGCAGAGTAAAATGACCAAGATCTAATCCAAACAAGTGTAAAGTAAAACAACAACCTTATTACAGCCTGGGACTAGTTCTTGAAGCAGTCTCATTCTTTCACTAATTCTCTCCCTTCTCACCTGTCAACCATAAATATAAACTGAGCATCCAAAATGCACATGTATGTATATATGTATAAACAAATCCCTTATAGGAGAACAAAGAAAGTGTGATTGACGGATTTACCCTTTCAGCAAGGCTGTGGCTGTTAGTCGCCTGCCCACGTTTAGCCCTGACATGCACATAATTTTCTTTGGGAGGTTCTCCACTGCTGGAATTATTATCCTTAATGACTTGTTTGCCCCCTTGTTTACTCCTCAAACTAGAATTATGTTCATCTTGTTCTGAGCAGACTCCCAAATGGTCTTTTGACTCAACATTCTGCAAAATTAATTAATTAAGTTAAGAAAACAATATATCACATATACACATAACTACATACATAACAGATCTTATATAATAGATCCAAAAAATTATTATCAGTATACCTTACTGGCATTTGAAGGAGGAACACAATCTGATGGTCTTCTCTTCCTTGCATTAGGCAAAAGATCATAATTTAAGTGACAATCTGATAGGCCAGAAGAACCAGTGAAGCCTCCATTGCAGAAAGCTGGAACCTTGTGAACCATATCAAGGTGATTATCGAGCACACCCGGGTACTGCAAATTCTGGTTCACAATAGGGTCCCAAAATGGTAACGGGTCTATCCCAGTGGGTGGCCCGTAAGTGGGTCGGAGCCCCATCTCACCATCATCCTCTGTATCCATTTCTCAAACAAAAAACCCCGAAAATTGCGGATTTCACTCCGTGCACCTTCAAAAGGGTAAAGTCCCAATCTTCTGCTGGGAAAATCAAGATCAAGGAACTATGTATATATATATAAGAAAAAGGTAAAATGGGTTTGACCAAAAAGAAAGACAGCTGGTAATACCTTGAGGACTCAACAAGGAACAAAGTAAATTGGCAGCTTTATTATCTAAGCTTATTATTATTAGAGGGTGAATTAAAGAAATGGAAAAGGGGAAAATCCAATGCAACAGGCATAAAATCTAAGCTTGCGTAGGAGCTTCAAGAACCCTTGGATCTAGTCTAATCTCATGAAAGAAAAAAGTAAGAAACTTTCAAAGAGGGCATAAAGTAGGCAACGAAGAAACGAAAAGGTACAAGTAGTCACAGCTCACCAGATGAAGTAAAGAGAAAGCAGATTCCCTTTCTCTGGCGTTTTATACTATTATTATGATTATTATTATTAGGCGCAGCGCAGGCCATGATTGCAATTTTCACGATTTTCAAAACACATCTTGATCCAAACGAGGCTTAGAATCTTGTTTGAATTGCACAGACAATGTGAGGATCACACCACCCTAAAGTCTGACCAAGAATAGCCAATAGATAGGTAAAAAAGAAGGTGCTTTTGCAGAAACATACCAATTCCTTTCTTGTAAAAGAAGGTTAGAATCAACACCCAGAAGGATCAAGATTGTGGTAGATAATGAGCTAGGGGACCTCAAAGCAGGCAGGGGCTTAAATTGGGGGGTCTGATGATGATGGTGGTGGACTGACTAGTAGCTATAGCTCTGACCGTCGGTTTAAAATAAATTCCAGACGATTACCTCCGATTCTCCGAATGAAGACAGACTAGCAGTAGAATATAAAAATTGGCATCTTTGAAGCCAACTGCTATTCTACCTTTAATTAATTACAGCTATTTTTTAATTAATTACAGAATAAATTATACTTGCATGAGTAGCTCAAGTGAAACCGAAGGAGCCAGTTTCATCTAATGTGATAAATTTATGTACACATATACGATTAGAGTATTCTAAAAATTTTCTCATTTATCTTTTTGTCCGAAGAAATTCTTTTCATTACTCTTTTTTAAAAATTTTGTGTAACTAAAATTGATTTACATTTTTCTTACTCAAGCACAATCATAAATTTTATTTGAACTCTCACTTTCTTAAACTCCGATACAAGTCACAAGCAGCTAAACACTACCTATGAGTATATAAAACGGAGGGAGTATATATTATTCCACGCATGTCACAAGCAGCTAAACACTACCTATGACCTTATCCCTACCCTCCACCTATACCCTTACCCTTGTCCTCTGTTCTAAAAATCGTTCTACGCGTCCGACTAGTTCCCGCCTAGGCGCTAGGCGGGGGCCGGACACCTCGATTTTCGTCTAAGCACTCCGACTAATTGGTTTGTCGTTTATGTGAATTAGTCGGCCGCCTATGGCGCCTAGTTTTCCCGCCTAGAATGCTTAATCGACCGCCTAGGCCGTCTAGATTCGTCAAACATTGCTTTACATTTTAAGATTAATTTTCTAAGTGATATACGTACTTTAGCTTTAGCCATTGATATAAAAAATGAAGTTGTAAATTAAGATAAAACTATACTCCGTATATGTTTATATATATATATATATATATATATATATATATATATATATATACACTTAAATTTCATCATTATTTATATTTATAACATAATAAAGTTAAGTGATTAGTTATCATATACTTCGTACTACATATGATTAAATGTGATAATTCTAAAAAATGTGATAATTCTATCATTCATATTTGTTAATGTATATGTATTTTACACACACAAAAATACGATATTACTTGTCATATATATATATATATATAAATGCAATTTCTTTGTCTCCGACTAGTTCCCGATTAGGCGCCCGCCTAGCCACCTAGGCGTTAGGCGCTGGGCTGGCGCCCAACTAGCGCCTACCGCCTTTTAGAACATTGCCCCTGCCATGTGCCCCCTGTCTCTACTCCTACCCCATCATATCCCAAAGGGTAGGGTAAGGGTGGGGGGTAGGGTTAGGGGTTAGGGAGTGGGTAACGGTAGGGGTAAGTCTCTACTATTATACTAAGTATATACTTGTGTATAGATGAATGTTTGTGTATCTATATATGTATAAGGTTATTTCGAAAATTTTAATGTAATACGATGTTTTGAATCATACTAGTATGAAATAAACATATGTTTATAGCACCGCTTTTATTATGATATAAACATAGGTTTATAACATCCCTTATTTTACGTGCCGTTTATTACCACAAATCTTAACGATTTTATCGGACGCGTAAGCGCATCTTCAATGCTTAACGTTAACGGTGCATACGTGGCATGAGAGATAGCCAATGAAAAAACAATAAATAGAATATCTCTCTCCTTATTTGAAGGATCTTATATCATTTTGGTAAGTTTTTCTTCACAATGTCAATCACAATGTCTAGATGTAGACATTGTGGTTTACATTGCAGGAAAAAACTTACCAAACACACATAAGACCGTGGAAAGACAGAGAGAGAAATGTCATAAAATCAATCTTTTGTGTCTATCTCTATCATGCCACATGTGCACCGTGCATATTGTAGCATTGAAGATGCTCTTATCCGACAGACTTTACGTGTCCTCCTTGATTTCTTCTCATCCACCTTCTACATCAATATTTCTTTCATTGCATTAATCAAATTAATGAGCCCGCATTGATGGATGTAGAATTGTAGATCGGTCTTTGGTTTATTTCGTTTGATTTTCTTAATAAAAAAATTAATGTTTCATCTGATCACTCAACTGATTAATTCTTACTTATGATTAAGTAGATGGATATTTAAAATTAGCAAATCATGGTAGTGATGTTATAAAGGCATAATGCAACTCCAATCTATAATTATCTATATAGCATCATCGCTAATATTAAATATTTGTTTATTTGAATTTGAGTAGGATTATTTATTTTTATGGAAATATTTATGATAGAGTATATCTAGAGAGAAGTGAGAGCTAGAGAGAGAAGTGCAATAATATGCTTCAATAGAATGAATTTGTCACCCCCATAACTACTCCCAAAGGGAGTATTTATAGAGAAAATTAGGGCTGGGCTCCCAAGTCTTGGGCTTGGGAGGCCCATTTACAACTGGACCGCTACTGGGCCGAATACAAAGCCACTAATGGGCTGTACAAATGAGTAAGTATAAAATCCGATTCTGTGAGGTCTTCGTGGCCGACGAGGGCGTGGACGACGAGGGCACGGCCGACGAGGGCACCCGGGTTCCTTGGACTCAGGACCATAATCCGAGTTGGCCCCTTTTCGGCCGACGGGGGCGTCTTGGCCGACGAGGGCGCCACTCTGTTGTTTTGTGCTTTCTGTTCTTCCGAGTATGTGGGTCCGGGGGCTCAGACCCATATACTCCATCAGGAGTCCCCCACTCTCTAAGCTGAGACGTAGATGAAGCGAAGGAGAGTAGATTCCTGTGCTTTGTTGCCCTTGGCCGTTACCTGTTCCTCGTTGTGGACAGGGAGGTCGTTGTTTACTTGATGTCTTCGTTTTGGGACGATGAGTGTCCTTTCTTTCAATGGTGGCCGTTGAAGGCATGTTTTGCTTGGGCGCTGATGGTTGAAGTTTGTGTTTGGGCCGATGAGGCCACTGAAGTTGGTCCTTGCTTCGAGGACGATGGCGTCTTTCCCTTTGGATGGCCGATGAGGGTGTTTGCGCACTCCTTTTGGCCGTCGTTGATTTAGCTTTCATGTTTCTGGCCGAAGAGCCCCTCGTGATTAAGTGATGGCGGAGGACGATGAGTGTCCTTGCCTTTGGTGGCCCGTTGGCCGTTGCAGATGACGTTGTGTGTCTTCGGTCGACGAGGTGCAGTGTGATGCGTGGCCGATGTGGCCATGCTCTGTGGTTACCTTGTTTGCATCTTCTTTCGTTTTGTTGAGGCCGGTGTAGTCCCCCAGTCCCCCACTGCTTCAGGCCGAGGAGTGTGAGGGGTGAAGGAGTTGCTTGAGTCCCTGGCCGAAGCGGCCTCCCGGTAGTCCCCCTGAATCCAACTCTCATGGCGATTTTCTGGCCAAGGTAACCCTGTGGGAGAACCCTTGTGCGCAGATCGCTTGTAGAGAGTTATCATCAAAGATCATGACGAGGAGCCGATGGCTTGTGGGCTCTTGGGTCCTGTGATCTTGTGGCCGTTACGTTCCTGGCCATTGCCGTCTCCTTATTGTTTGGCAGTTGTGATCTTGGCGAGCAAGTGGGACGTTGTGGGCGCTTGCTGACATTATGTAAAGCCAGTGAGCGTGTGTAGGCCGTAGAGTCCGTCCTGCCAGTGGGCTGTTGATATTGAGTTTGGCCCGTGGTGACGTGGTGGCCCCCCATTGGTGGCCATTGGTGTGTCCATTGGGGGGGTGCCACGTGTAGTGACCGTTGGGTGGGGGGTTCTATAAATACCCCTCCCCCTCCGACGAGAAAACGTATTTGCATTCTGAATTTGTCGAAGTGCTGGCCGATTTTCTAGAGAGATAAACTCCCAAGCCTGTTCTTCGTGTTCGTCGTTGTTCAAGGTTAGTGTTCATCACGATCTTCCTCACTTTTCATATTTTGCTTCCTAGGCTAGTGATCTAGTGTTAGGTGTTTGAACACCCTTAGATCTTAAGTTAGTCTCCTTAGGCCCGTAGTAGTAGTTATGAAGAGCTTGAACGAAGACTACTACCCCTACGACGATCAGCCCTCCACGAGGTCGCTTGACTACGTGGTGCTCGAGGAGTTCGAAGAGGAGATAGAGCGTTTAAGTCCCTACAAATCCGGAGAGCCGGTGGACGAGGAAGGCGAGGACGAGGAGTCCGCCTCCTCTTCAAAGGGTGAGGACGTAGGTGCGTCCCGAGTGGTGGACGGGGCGTCCACTTCTGCTGTCATTCCGTGCCCGAGGCCGGTGTCTGCCGTGAAGGGAGCAGCTAAGCCGAAGAGGGTGAGGAGGCCGAAGAATGGGCCGGGCCTCTCCTATCTGGACCTCACCAACATATTCCTGATCAAGCCGGAGAGCAGTGCGGCCGACTATCTTGTCGCTCAGATGTACGTGGGGCCGTTCTGGCGGGTTAGGGCACCCAGGCCGACGGACCATGTTCTACTTCCGCCACCGGGATACTTTGGAGTATACCCGATGAGTTTTGCTAAGGGGTTGAGGTTTCCCCTTCACCCTTTCATCATTGAGTATCTGGACATGGTGGGGCTTCCTCCGGCCTTGCTGACGCCGAAAAGTTATTCCTTGATGGTGGGCTTTTTACTTCGGTGTGAGGAGCTGGGCTACAGGCCGACAACGGCCTTATTCATGAATTTGTACGAGATCGGCCGAGGAAGCCACAAGAACTGTGCGGCCTATGCTACTCTTCAACAGCTGCCGAAGAAGAGGAGCTTCACGGATTTGCCTACGTCCATTCATGGGTGGAAGAGCAAGTTCATGTTTGTGTCCATTGGTGAAAGTGGCACCGAGTTCCCTTCTCTCGGCCATACCGGGAGGTTCAATCTCCATGACCCGCCGAAGAGCTCTATCTTGGATGCTCAGGTGGAGGCTTTCCTGGAAGGGGGGCCGAGGAGCGTGAAGGATTACGTTACCGAATACAAGATGACCGCCCTCGGCTTCTTCAGATACCACCTATATGGAGATAAGGAGGATGACCTCCAACTCTGGCCGAGGATGACCACCACATTTGAAGAGGCCGACGGCCCGGATTTGGGCATCCCTGCTGAGGCCGATGGTAATTATTTCTTCGGCTTTCTGTTTTTATGTTTTTGTCCTTTGCCTTACTAATCCGTTGTGTTTTTCCTTTGTAGATTTTGCCATGGACCGACGTTCCATAATGGCTATTGCCAAGGCCAAAGCGGCCGAGGAGCTGGCTGCTAAGGCGGCCGAGGCGGCCAGACGTGCCGCGGCCGGTGGGAGCGGGGCTACTGCTGATGCGGCCCCAAAGCCTGCTCCATCGAAGAAGAAAAGGCCGGCCACTGACGGCCAGAAAAAGTTAACTGAGGCCGGCCTGAGCGTCTCGAAGAAGACGAAGAGGGCTCCTTCCCCTTCTCTGGCTACTGAGGCCGGTACTCTGGCTGTCCCCAGCGTGGACGATAGTGGTCCTGTCGTGGACCTTACTGCTGTTGGTGATGCTGCTCCATCACTGCCTCTCGTCCAGGAGCCACGGACGAAGAGGGCCGGCAAAGAGATTGCAGGTGCCACCTACCAGAAGATGGTAGAATACCCCGTCGGCGGGGGTGTCTTCGATGACGTCGTCCTTGGCCACGACGTCCTGGCGCAGGCCATGCCGGCCAAGGATCGGGCTTACCTGAGGAAGCTCGGGGACGTGAATATCTACGAGGGTGGCATGGACCTCCTCGTCCAAGTAAGTTACCTTCCTTATGCGTTGTCTTTCTCGTCGTCTGTGTAAAACCATTTGCATGACTTTTGTTTCCCTTGTTTCTGCAGAGTGCCTTCATGCTAATGGAGAGCCACAAGAGGCAATACCGAGAGATAGCTCGCTTGAAGGAGCTGGAGCAGAAGGCCGCCTCAGCCGACGAGGTGGTTGCTTGCCTGGACCGGCTCCGGGAGGATGCCAGGGCGTTGCAGGCCAAATCCGATGAAGCCGCCGCAGCCAGGGACGATGCCTTGGCCAAGCTCGAGGAGAGCAAAGGGAGCTTGAGGAGTCCCAAAGGGCCCTGGATGCCGAGCGGCGCAAGAGCGAGGAGGCCGTCAAGGCGAAAGCGGATGCCGAGGCCGCCGTTGTGAGGGCTGCTGACGAGGCCGTTGAGAAATTCTTGGCCGAGGGGTGGAAGGCCGATGAGAGGCTCCCCTGGTGCTACGAGGTGGTGGCCGCCAGGCTTGAGAGTTGGGGGATGAACTCCCCCGTCGGCCAGGAGTATTTCAGCCGAGAGATGTCCGTGTATTATAACCTTGGCCAGGAGCGGATGCAAAGGCTCCTGTGTCGGCGGCTCTCTCGTGCTTTGAAAGCCATGAACTATACGTCTGGGTGGGCCAGACGGAACGTGAAGCTGCCGAAGCTGATGAAGGATCCAGAAGAGCAGGCAAAGCTTCCGTTGTCGGAGCGGGAGTCCCCAATTGAAAGCTCCGGCCTTGGCGAGCCGGATTACACCGAGTTTGACTTTTTGGACGACGCCACAAGTGCTGCAGCCGCCGCCGGCCAGGAGATTGAAGCCGAGGAGGGGGCCGACGAGGCCGAAGAGCCAGCCGCAGATGGAGGTGCCCTAGAGGCTTGATCGGCTACTCTGTAGTTAATTTTTGTATTTGCAAATTTTGTAACGGCCGTAGCGCCCCCCAATTGTAATGAACTTGACTATCAATGAAAAAAAATTTGCCGTCCTGTTCGGCTTTGAATCCCTTGTATGCTTGTTTGCTTTTTGGCATTTGTTGAAATTTTTTCTAAGTGTCAAGGTCACAACTTGGGTGACCCGGGAGTGTCCGCTACGTCTGTGAGGTCGTCCACCCTGTCCGGTGGCCTGGTCGGCCTGTTCGTCGTTGCTTTACTATCATAACACTTAGGATTTTTTCAGAAAATCTTCTAAGTGTTTCGGGTTCACTTGGATGCCTTCTTCCCGGTCTGGTGGCTTGGTCGGCCTGACCGTGTTGATGTAGTATCATAACACTTAGGATTATTTCGAAAAATTTCCTAAGTGTTTTTGGGTTCTTACAGTTGCTTCCTTGTGGCCTGGTGGCCTTGTCGGCTTGGCCGGTGGTTCTTGGCTACCATAACACTTAGGTTTTTTTTTCAAAAATTTCCTGTGTTTTGGATCCCTTTAGGTGCTTCCCTTTTCAGCCTTGACCGTGGTGTCCGCTCCGTCCGGGCCTTGGATTCATCATTTTTGACAAATGCTCTGGGAGATGTCCCAAGTGTTTGAGCCAGTGTCGTTGTCGGCCTGTATCCTTTGTGTTGTGGCCGATGAGGGCACCTTAACCTGGATCTTTTTGAACTTAGAATTTTTCTAAGTACACATGTAGAGGTATGGGTAGATAACGGCCTTGGAGTATACTGGTACCCGCTTCGGCTAGAGTTCCTTCATTTGAGTACTTAGATAATTTTCTAAGTATAAATGTTAGGCATTTACTTCTTTGCGGTGCCGCTGTCGGCCAAGGTCTGGCTTGTGGCCGATGAGGGTGCTGGATAAGGAATGGTTTGTTCAAGGAGATGGTCCTACCTTCGTCGGCTAGCCATGGTTCCTTGTTGAGGAACCCTCTCTTTTCTCAGGATTTTTTCTAAGTGTTTGGGAAACACTTAAACGAATTCCCCAAGAACTTTCGCTTGACCAACAGCCTTGGTTCCAGTGCTTGCGTCGGCCATCCGAGATGCTGTGGCAAGTAGAGGTTGTTTCTTGATTGCTTGATCCCTTCGCGGGTGTGATATGTGCCCGCTTCGTCCTGGTCATCCTCAGGATTGCGATGCTTTGTTTCCTACCAAGCGTTGGTGCCTCAAAGGACTATGGCCGATGAAGGTCACCTCTCGCGTGTCACCCAACCGATGCGGTTAGGGTTCTATAGGCGTGTGTTTCGGCCTTGATTATTCCCTTGTAGTGTGTGGACGTGTCGTCCATGTTACCTATCAGTGGTACTACACTTGTGTTCAACTGATATGTACTTGGCCTAGTTGGGCCTGAGTTGTGGGGATTTTATTTTTTCATTGCTCGAGGCCGGCAAGTGTGCACGGCCGTCGGCTTCCCTCTTTTTCCCTTGTATGTTTTTTTTTTTTTCGTTTCGGGGGGTGTCCTTCTTTCAGGCTTCGGCCGAAGGGTGTGCTCGTCCTTCGGCCGGTTCAGACTTCGTTTATAACGTCCGTGGTCTCAGGGCGGGTCCCGTCGCCTATTTATGACGCGGGCTAGACTTTTGGTCGGTTTCCAACGGCTGTCGTTGCCCATCCCTAAGTTTTGGGATTTTGTCACCTCGGCCATGATTTCAGGCCTGTCGTCCTGCGTGCTGGCACGTGGACGACGCGGTGAGCTTCCCGTTTCAAGACGTGGGCCGTTTGCGGGCCCCTCGTCCTGGGGACATCGTCGGCCATACCTGAGTGTTTCACTTCTAGGCTTACGGGGCCAGGACGATGTGCTCTCTCAGCTAGGCCTGAGCCCTTCGCTGATACAAAATACAATGGAGTGCCTGAGCTTGTCGCTCGTAGGCTGCAAATGCAAGGGGCCATGCCGGCCAGACCTGAGCCTTTCGCTCTAAGGTGGCCGACGAGGGCACCTGCTAATGTTTTACTTTGAATTTCCAGAGAAAAAATCAGAACATGATTTTATTCATAAGTGGCTCGAGGCCGAGGGTGGCGCTCAATCAGTAACCCGTTAAGGGGTGAGGGCTTCACCGTCTACACCTCCTTCGGATTACTGATAAAACTTCACCAGATGGTGTACATTCCATGTTCGTGGTACATTGGACCCATTCGGGCGTCTAAGCTTGTAGGTGCCGGGTTTGACCACGGCACTGACGATGTAGGGCCCTTCGTACTTCAATGCTAGCTTGCCACCCTCTGTCGGCTGGCTTGCTTCCCTCCGGCGGAGGACGTAGTCCCCCACCTGAAATTCCCGGGAACGTACCTTGGCGTCATAGTATGATTTTACTTGACGCCGGTAGTTCTCTGCTCGGACGTAAGCTTGCTCACGCCTCTCGTCAACCAGGTGTAGGTCAATCTTCATGTTCTCTTCGTTGGTGTCAGGCTCATATTGTTCCACCCGTCGGCTGGGGATGGCAACTTCCGTGGGCGCCTTTGCTTCGAAGCCGTAGCACAGGGCGAAAGGCGTTTCGCCTGTCGCCCTCCTCGGCGTGGTTCTGTAGCACCACAGGATGTTGGGGAGCTCGTCGACCCAACTACCTCCTGCGGCCTGGAGTTTCTTCTTCAGCCCTTCCATGATTGTTCTGTTGGCGTTCTCAACCTGCCCGTTGCCCTGAGGATAGGCAACGGAGGAGAAACGATGTATTACCTCAAACTCCCGGAGGAGCTCTTGGAAAGGGGCTGCCTCGAATTGGGTGCCGTTGTCTGATATGATCTCCTGGGGGACGCCAAAGCGTGTGATGATGTTCTTGTAAACAAATTTTTGGCATCTGGCCCCCGTGATGCTGGCCAAGGGCTCCGCCTCGACCCACTTGGTGAAGTAGTCGACGGCGACGATGATGTAGCGGTTATTCTCGGCGGCTCTGGGCAGGGGGCCGACCAGGTCAATCCCCCATCTGGAGAATGGAATTGCGGTGCTGACAGGGGCATAGTTGACAGCTGGCCGACCAGGGGCCTTCTGGAGCACCTGGCAGGTGGTGCACTTCCTGGCAAGGTCAGCGCAGTCGCGTGCCATCGTCGGCCAGAAGAAGCCCTGGACGACGAGACGCCGGGACATGCTGAAAGGGCCCTGGTGTGAGGAGCAGACGCCACAATGAACTTCTTCCATGGCTATGTCGGCCTCATCCTGGTGTAGGCATCGGAGGAGGGTGTCATTATAGGACCGTTTGTAGAGTTTGCCATCTTCGATGGTGTAGCTTGGGGCCCTGAGTTTGGCAAGTTTGGCCCTCTCTTCGTCCGGGGGCAGCTCCCCCGTTGTGATGAAGGTGGCGATGTCGGAGATCCAGTCCTCTGGTCGCTGTTGGACGCACAAGACGGGGCTGGCATGGATGCTGGACATGCTCAACTCCTCGATCTTGGCCAACTGGGAGATGTGCTCCGGGGTGTCCGAGCTGAGCTTGGAGAGGATGTCGGCTTCGGTGTTCTCGGCCCTTGGGATCTGAGTGATCTCGTGGGTTTCAAACGCTTTCAGCAATTCCTCCGCCGCTTGTTTGTACTGCTTCATCCGGCCTTTCTTTGCTTAGTACGATCCCTCCACCTGGCCCACTACCAGTTTGGAGTCGCACTTGATTTTGAGGTGCTTGGCCTTGAGGCCGGCGGCGAGTCTGAGACCGCTGAGGAGGGCCTCATACTCGGCTTCGTTGTTGGATACCCTGAAGTTGAAGCGGATGGCATAGTAAGCTCTGAACCCTTCAGGGGATATGAGGACGACGCCGCCGCCGCATGATTTCGCGGCCGACGAGCCGTCAGTGAACAGGGTCCACGTATCGTCCGACTCCGGCCCGGGGTTGGCGACGGCCGTCTCCCTTGCTGTGCATTCAATGACGAAGTCGGCCAAGGCTTGCCCTTTGATGGATGGCCTTGGCTTGATCTCAATCTGAAACTGGCTGAGGAAGATCGCCCATTTCACCATCCTCGAGGAGCTTGTGGGGCTCCTCATGAGTGCGCCAAGAGGCTGCTGGGTCAGCACATGGACGGTGTGGGCTTGGAAATAGTGCCCCAGCTTCTTCACTGTGTGGACGATGGCCAGCACCGTCTTCTCAATGGGGGAGTACCTGAGCTCGGCCTCCCTGAGTGTCTTGTTGATGTAGAAGATGGCCTTCTGCACCCCTTCGTCCTCACGGATGAGCACGGAGCTGATGGCCGACGTGCTCACCCCTAAGTACAAGAAGAGGGTTTCGCCGGCTTTGGGATTGGAGAGCACGTGTGGGGACGACAGGTACCTCTTCAATTCGTCGAATGCTTCCTGGCACTCCGTTGTCCACTTGAAGCTGTTTGCCTTACGCATGATCTGGAAGAAGGGGAGTGCCCTCTCGGCTGACCTGGAGAGGAACCGGTTTAAGGCCGCCAGGCGCCCCGTCAGTCGATGTACCTCCTTGACGTTGCGGGGCGGCTCCATGTTGATGATAGCCTGCATCTTCTCCGGGTTTATCTCGATGCCTCTCCGGCTGACCATGTAGCCGAGGAACTTGCCACCCTGGACGCCGAAGGCGCATTTCTTGGGGTTGAGGCGGAACCTGAACTCCTTCATTATTTCAAAGATTTCCCGGAGGTCGTCGGCGTGGGAGGTGGCCTGCCTGCTCTTGACGATCATGTCGTCGACGTACGCCTCCATCGTCCGGCCAAGGACCGCTCTGAAGATCTTGGCCACCATCCTAGTGTAGGTGGCGCCGGAGTTTTTGAGTCCGAAGGCCATGACGAGGTAGCAAAAGATTCCCTCTGGGGTCATGAATGTCGTCTTCTCAGCGTCATCTTCATGCATGGAGATTTGGTGGTACCCTCTGAAAGCATCGAGGAACGACATCAACTCGCATCCCGCCGTCTCGTCCACCAGCTGATCAATGTTGGGGAGAGGGAACGGGTCCATGGGGCACGCCTTGTTCAGGTCAGTGTAGTCAACACACATTCTGAACATCGGCGGTTTTTGTGCGAGGACGACGTTGGCCAACCATGTCGGGTACTTCACCTCTTTGATGTGTTTGATTGAGAGGAGCATGGCGACCTCCCCTTTGACGAAGTCCCGCCTGTCGGCGGACAAGTAGCGCCGCTTCTGTTTGACAGGCGCGGAGGCCGGATCGACGGTCAGCCGGTGAGTGATCACCTGGCGGCTGATGCCTGGCATATCGTCCGGGCCCCACGCGAAGACAACGACGTATGACCGTAGGACGAGGAGGATGGCGTCTCGTTGGTCCTGGGGGAGTTGCTTTCCGACCCTGAGAACCCGCTCCGGCCGGGAGGTATCCAGGGGGATTTCCTCGACCTCCTCGGCCGGCTCCGCATGTGGCCTCTCCTCGTCCATGGCGACGGCGGCCGTAATGGTGTCTATCCGCTGTCCTTCCCTTTCGGCCGGCCTCGTTAGCTTGAGGTAGCAACCTCTGGCTATCCTCTGATTTCCTCTGGCGTAGCCGATGCCGTCATTGGTGGGGAACTTCAAGCATAGGTGCTTCATGGAGATGATGGCCTCCAAGTCCTCCAGCGCTGGCCGGCCCAAGATCAGGTTGTGGGCGCACTGGAGGTTGACCACCATGAACTCCATGTCAATTTTGGCATGGTGGGGGCCGTCACCGACTTCCACGGGGAGGATTATCGTGCCCTCGGCGTCGATAGAGTCCCCGGTGAAGCCGGATAACGGGGTCTTGATCGGCTTCAGCAGAGCTCTGTCCAGCTTCAGCTGCTTGAAGGTGTCCAAGTACATCACATTGACGGAGCTCCCCGTATCGATGTAAGTACAGTGGATGATGGAGTCACCGATCTCACATCGGATGACGAGGGCGTCCCTGTGTGATTCCGTACCCGGAGGCAGATCCTTGTCGGTGAAGGTGATCGCCTCCGTTCGCTGCTTCTTTGGCTGGGGGGAACGTGGGATACCTCCCCAATGTAAAGGGATTGGGCCCATTTCTTTCTCTGAGTGGCGGAGTCCCCCCCCCAGTGTTCCCGCCTACGATGAGGTGGACGTGATTCTTCTTCGGTGGAGGCTCTTCGAAGTCCTCGTCGTCGCTGAGCCTACCAATCTCCCGCTTCTTCGCAGAGGGTTCGCCCCCATGTTTGCCGGTGTTTACCCAAGTGTTCTTGCGTGGGCCACCTTTGACAAACTGGGAGAGTTCTCCCTGGCGAATAAGGCGCTCGATGGCCTTTTTCAGTGTGATGCAATCGTCGGTGTTGTGCGACGAGTTTTTGTGGAACCGGCAGTACATGTCGCCCTGCTGGATGGCAAGGATCTCCTCGGCCGGCCGAGGAGCCTGCTCGATGAGGCCGTGCTTCTCGGCATAATCGAGGATGGTGCCGACCGGGTGGGTGAGGGTTACCCCCGGCCGTTCCAGCCTCGGCCGCCAGTGGCGGTCTTTCTTACTCTGTCCACCAGAGCCGTGACGGCCCTGGGCACCCTGGCCGGCCGGGGACGGACCCGGGGCCGGCGAAGGATTTGTCTTCTTGGGGGGATGGCCCTCTCTCTCTTGTGATTGTGGAGCTCGTCGGCGTCGGCGTACAAGCCTCCGCGCTGGAGCGCCTTAGCGTACGACCTCGGGGGGTCGGTGATGAGGCTCCTAGCGTACGGGGAGCTGCGGAGGGCTCCCTGGTACAAGGCAAGGAGGGTGCGCTCATCGGCCCCCTCGACCTCCTCGGTCTCCCTCGTCCACCGATCGATGAATGACCGGAGGGACTCTACGTGCTGTTGCTTGATGGAGAGGAGGTGGGTGAAATACTTCTTTGCGCGCTTCCTCCCGGCAAAGTGAGTGAGGAAGCGCTGGGCGAGATCCTGCCATGAGTCGATGCTTCCTTCTGGGAGCCCGTTGAACCACTCGTACGCTGGCCCCTCGAGAGTAGAGAGGAACCAACGGTAGAGGTATTCGTCGGACGCGTTCACCATCAGCATGTTGTTCTGGTAACGGCTGAAGTGCTCCTGGGGGTCTGATCGGCCATCGTAGGACTTGATGGCGTTCCCCCTGTACTTCTCAGGGATGGGGGCCGAGAGGACCCTGTTGGTGAAAGGGGTCCTAGTCCTGACCTGGATGATGGGGTCACCCCGCCCTTCGGCCAGCTCCCTCTCCAGGGCGCTAACTTTGTTCATGAGCGCGTTGAGGCCGGGGTCGTTGGAGGCGCCGGCCGTAGGGATGTTGGCCGACTGCTTGGCCTCCATCTGAACCAGCCTCCTTTCCAGCTGGGCGATGACCTCGTCCCGGGGGTCCCTGTCGGCCGCAGCGGCGCCCGGCTGGTTCCTCAGGCGCTCGTTGTGAGCCGCATTGATCTGGTGACGCACGTCATCCTCGTGCAACTTCCCCTTGCCCTTATCCGGGCGGGGATGGTCCGCTGTCCGGGACACAGACCCCAAGCTTTCCCTTGGCGAGCCAGGACGGGGATCACCAATCCGTCCCGCCATCCTCTCCGAAACCGGACGACGGCGCGTGTCACCTAGCCTATTGAAGGCAGAGGCTTTTCCACGCGCTGGGGTCTGCCCGGGCCGAAGAGGGGAAGCAGGGTGGGAGTGGGATGACGCCGTGTCCTGGGGCACCACCCCCTCATCGTTGCCTATGTGGACGGCTAACGGTTGGTGCTGAGGAGGTTGAGTGACGTTCCCCCCGGTCCTTGGCAAGAGTGCGCTGAGGACGGTGGGGTTCTGAGCTAGGCTGGCGATGATGGCCGACAGCGCGGCCTGGACCTGTGGATCTACGGACGGAGAGGCCGCGGCCATAGGCTGGGCCGGGGCGTGGTCCGCTTTCTCAGCTCGTTTCTTTTCCAGGCCGAGGCGGGCGTCGGGGACTCCGCCGTTGAGTTGGTTGCGGAGGTCCGTCGTGAGGTTGAAGGCCTCCTGGAAGAGGTCCCCTCCGCCGGCCTGGTCGGCCGTGGCGTCCTCATCGTGCTCCCTGGGCTCTTGGTCCTCAGGGATGGCTTTGCTGACGAGGTTGCGGTTTGACTTAGTTCTCCCCATGATCAGTGGTTAGCTGTGCTTGGTAGCGACGAAGGGTGCTAACTTGATTGTTCTAGCTCTCAACGAGAGCACCAAATGATAGAGTATATCTAGAGAGAAGTGAGAGCTAGAGAGAGAAGTGCAATAATATGCTTCAATAGAATGAATTTGTCACCCCCATAACTACTCCCAAAGGGAGTATTTATAGAGAAAATTAGAGCTGGGCTCCCAAGTCTTGAGCTTGGGAGGCCCATTTACAACTGGACCGCTACTGGGCTGAATACAAAGCCACTAATGGGCTGTACAAATGAGTAAGTATAAAATCCGATTCTGTGAGGTCTTCGTGGCCGACGAGGGCGTGGACGACGAGGGCACGGCCGACGAGGGCACCCAGGTTCCTTGGACTCAGGACCATAATCCGAGTTGGCCCCTTTTCGGCCGACGGGGGCGTCTTGGCCGACGAGGGCGCCACTCTGTTGTTTTGTGCTTTCTGTTCTTCCGAGTATGTGGGTCCGGGGGCTCAGACCCATATACTCCATCAATTTACGTTTCTTTTTATTCAAGTAATTTAATTATATTATAGATACCTCCATCTGATAATCTTAAGATTATTACCTCCATTTACTGAATATTACTGATTTTCAAAAATGTGACCACTCTTGAATTTGGACAAAAATGTGACAATTTTTTAAATTTGGACAAAAATGTGAGTAAAATAAAGTGACAAAGAACTATTCATGTCACTGCCCATTTTCAGTCGAATGTCGCTACCACCGCTGACACCCGTGTCACAGTGACAAATATATAGTTGCATCCCTCATGTGACACTAATACAATGACACTACCCTCAGTGACAGAGACATATTGACATCCACAAACTCCTCCCACCGGTTAACACCCACCGGCCAGAGACCACCACCGGCCACAGTGACGCCGCCATAGTGACGTCGTCACAGTGACACGGCCTACGGTCAAAATGACACCTCCACCGTGACATGTCGTCTCCGCTACTGGTCACCACCAGCCACCAGACCTTAACTCCCCGACACCATCGGACCTCAACTCCCGGTCACCACCGGACCTCAACTCCCGGCCACCACCAGACCTCAACTCCCGGCCACCACCAGACCTCAACTCCCGTTCACCACCAGACCTCAACTCCGGTCACAACCAACTTCTGTCACCACTCCCCAGCCTTTTCTCAACCCAGCAACAACCCCTGTCCAGACCCACGCCCCCAGCCATCGCCCCTTCCCCTGCCCTAGTGCTCTCTCCAGTCCGCCTCCCCATACTCCAGCCCCAGCCCAACGCCACCACCGCCTTGCCAATGAACCGCCACCACCCCGCCCCCAAGGTATCGTCGTCATCAATAGCATCCGTCGTCGGGGAATCGATGTAGAAGACGATGGAGTTCTAGATCTTGAACTTCGTCGCAGATCATCGTTGTGAACAACAAAGAAAGGAGAAGAAGATGAATTAGGTGGCCGAGTCAACAGAGGCGTCAGAGGTTGAGTCATCGAATTACCGTCGCCGGAGTCTGGCTGTGGTCGCCGGATTCGTTGTCTTCACATGAGAGTCGCTCTGCTTGCTACGAACATGTGTGGTCGACTGTGAGAATTCCGATATCCACTTGGCAAAGGAAGAGTAACGGGTTGGGTGGAAAGTATTGGGCTGGGAGAAAGAAATAGTTTAATGCTAATGTTTACTTTTTTGTTTATATATGTAGTACGTTTAATGTACTTAAAAGCACTACACGTAGAAAAGAAAATTCTCTATGTTAATGTTTATTTTTCTAATCTAATTACTCCGTATATTTTAAGTATTTCCGTTTGAGTTTAAACATTTACCTAAAAATTAAACTATTCAACTCAATTAAAAGACAAGTATATAACCTAAGAGAGTGTTTGCCAACACTTTTTTAAGCACTTTTCAGCTTTTTTGTAAATAACTCCAACTTCAAGGACAATTCTAATGACTAAATTTTTCACTTCAACACAAAATATCCTCCGTTCTTCCCTATTCTCTCTCCTCAACCTTCATCCGGACGTATCCCCTTCACGTGTTTTCTTCATAGTTCATAACTGCTATATTTATGTTCATTTTCTTTTATGGAATTTCTTATTTTATGGTTATATAGGTGTTTTCAAATTTTGATTTTTATTAACTTGATTTAAGCAGCACTAAGGTTCTCTTCGTAGATGGTAGCTGTCAATTTTTTAGGGATTTAAGCTTATCCCGGTACTCCCTCCGTCCCTTAAAACCTTTCCATCTTTTATTTTTGGGACGTCCCAAAAAATTTTGATACTTTTCTTTTTAATCAATTATTTTGTGGTTCCTTTATTTCTTTCTCCTTTGCACAAATCTCAACCACACCGTTTTTACTTTATTATTCTTCGTGCTGAAGTATATGTATGTATCTATAAAGCTTGTCCCTGCGATGAAGAAGACCTTTTGGTAAAGGTATATATACGTATATTTAACGAAAGGGGCAATTTTGTATTTTAATAAAAAAAGCTAATCAAAATCACTTTTATACCAAATACATCAACTTTTACCTCATAATCAAAATCATTTCTATTTACAAACACTATCTATTTTTACCAGAAATCACTTTATCTCTTAAATAAATCACTTTTAAAAAGCACAGGTAAATGCAAACACTCCCTAAATATCACTAGTGTTTTTTGAGACCCGGGACATTAGCCCCCTATGCCTCCAGATCCTCCCCTAAATATTTTGAGGTGTAAATTGTAAAGAGGAGAGACTATAGATGGGGTAGGAACTCAAGGAAAAGAGATGATGATTTGGGCATGTGACTATGTGAGGTATAAGAGAAATAAGAAGGTAAACAAATAGAATAAATAAGTGTAGAAATGCTTGATGTACCTTTTTGTATATTTTTGCCGAGTACATCCTATATAAGGTTCTAAAAATTACCCTTTTAAATTCTCCTCTCTCATACTTCATTCCCTCTTTTGTATATCTATTTTACCCTTCTATTTATAGCTCATCTCCACCATCACCTTCCATCCCCTTCATCTTCTATCTTCGTCATTTTCATCTTTATCATCTTTTAGGATTAGAAATACCAAATGAAGTTTGAGAATCACCTGAAAATCGGAGAAATAAAGAATGAAGAATCTTCAGAATCATTATCAATATCGTCTGTTAATATTTGTGTTGTCCTAAATATCGATATTATATGTCTATAGGAAAAAATACAATTGAAAAACTAGTAAATCTCTATAAAGGTGTGTCACAAAAAATATGTTTGATCACAAACACGGATTTGCATGTCATTCACGTCAATTTGCATTCTTTTTGTAGAGATGTCAATGTAAATTCCACGGGAGTTAATTTATGTGCATAAACATAACTTGTATAGTTGTATGTGCACGGACATTACTAGTTCACGAACACAAAAATGTTACGCAAAGAAAGGAAATGTACAAATACAAACCTTTTGGGAAAACTATCAATTTGGTCCCCATACTATCACAAACAAAGTCAATTAGGTCCTCACACTTTAAAATAAATCAAACAAATCCCCGAACTTTGAAAAAACGTTCAATTGACTCAATTAGCAGGTCACTTGCGATGCCAGCAGGTCATTTGTAAATGACTGAATGGGCTTCCACATGTGTCACGTCAGCAAAGTCACTGATGAATGGGCTGCCACATGTGTGCCACGCCAGGTCGCCAGCAGGTGACTTTTGACACGGCGGGTAACCTGCTAATAGACTTAATTGAACATTTTTACAAAGTTCGGGGATTTGATTGATTTTTTTAAAAGTACGAGGACTTAATTGATGTTTTCAAGATAGTACAAAGACCAAATTGAAAGTTTTCCCAACTTATTTTGTCAAGCACTTGCATTTTTGTATAAAAATCAAATCAATGTGAGTGGCGCACAAACAATGTCTATTGATTTTGTAATGCCCCTCTGACCGTTAAAAGGAAATATTGTATTAACTTTATTGTGGTTTAGTCCCGAATGATGCGAAGGCCCAACACTAACCTTGGATCTTGGGTTGAACTGCTATAGTAATGTATATAAAAGGAAATATAAAATCTGATTTAACTATTCAAACAACTCAGCTTGTATTAGCACAGTAATAACAATTACACAGAAATGATCGAATGGTAGTTACGGTTCAAAGGTTAATGCGAGAGCTATTATGCAATATAAGCTTGTGAGTCAATAAAATCCAACCCTTACAATGAATTAAAAGCGGCTATTTATACTAAATGGAGACATGGGGTGCCCTAATACGATTGGTTGCTTTCCATGCCACTTGAGACCCCCATGATTCAGCATTAACTGAAGTCGGTCACATCCCGTTTGGGTGGTGCCGAACGGGTCTTTCCTTCTAGCAGGTTACACATCACTCGGGCCTACTGATTTCTTCTGGACTACCCTTTGTATTTTGGGCCTTAAGGATGTGCCGAACTCCCGTTCAGGATCTATGACCTCTTGGCTTTCCTTGGTGCCTGGGCCTCAGGGATATTTTGGGCCGTTGTATGTGCCTGGGTCCCAGGGATATTTTGGGCCACCATATTGGGCCGGACCTCAATATCCTATCAAACTTCTTATTTAAAAAACTACAATATAACGGCAACTTATTTAATAAACAACCGTGTTAAAATCTCATGCATCATTTATTTCCCAATATATGACTTAGTAAAATTTCTTTTCTAATCTCTCATGCATGGTCTGATGGTCATTTATTGTTATTATTATTAATCCCCCCCATCCCCCACCTCCCTCCTCCACCCACACACACAATAACCCCAAACATACTTCCATAAACATACATGGAAACTTTGATTCCTTGTTTCATATGATAGACACAATTACACCTGCATATTTATAAGTAATACTCTAAATCGTTGTTAAACGAACGATAGTACAACTCCTTAACTATATATGCTCATCTCTTAGCAAATAATATGTTGTGTGTGAGTGTCTTGAACAATTTAAATCTCTCAAGTTTTAGTTGGATCGAAGAATTCATTAGCTTCAACTTTAGGATAGTTTGAGATATTTATGAAATGTGGTTATAAAATGTTTGGGTGTGATTTATGTGTGGTTATAAAATGTTTGGATGTGATGATAAATTACATGTGTGTGTTTTCATAAAGTTTGTGCGTGTTTTCATATTGTCTATGCATCTTCCTATAATGTCAGTGTGTATTTTTATAATGCACATGAACACAAAGCAACAAAGGAATCAAACATATGACAATTATAGTACAAAACTTCAAATTTCAAGTACATCATACCAAATGCCTTCACAACCAAATAAGATTTTAGGTGTTGTTCTATTCGTCTTATTCTTATTACTTATTGCTTATTCTTATTTTATTCAGATCAGATCAGATCAGAAACATTCAGATCAAAACATTCAGATCAGATCAAATCAGATCAGAAACATTCAGGACACAAAGATTCATAGCAAATTGGAAACATTCTGTTATTATCGATTATATTATTATTATTATTACTACTACTACTACTACTACTATTATTATTAATATTAGTATTATTATTATGATTATTATTACTATTATTACTATTATTATTTATTATTATTATTACTATTATTATTATTATTCTTATTATTATTACTATTATTATTATTATTATTATTATTTTATTATAATTATTATTATTAAATAATTATAATTATAATAATAATAGTTATTATTATTACTAATTTATTATAATTATTATTGATATTATTATTAGAATTATTATTATTAGTATTAATATTATTATATACCGGTTTAGAAAGTTAAGATCAGATCAGAAGGATTCAGATCAGAAGGATTCAGATCAGATCAAAAGCATTCAGATCAATTCAGAAAAATTCAGATCAGATCAAATCAAATCAGAAAGATTCAGATCAAATCAGAAAGATTTAGATCAGATCAAATCAGAAAAATTCAGATCGGATCAGATCAAACGAAGAGAACAACTTCTTAATCTAACCGAGCATAGTACATCAATGTCATAGGCTCATAGCCATTTCCAATGACACTATTTGTAAGAGTCCGTATGATTCTTGTTCCCTTGAGCATTCCCTTGTTTGGTCGTTCTTTTGGGGGTTGTTGCTTGTAACTAAAAAATTATTGACACGCTAATATGTTAGTCAAATGATTTGTCTATACTCTATACCATGCCTATTGGTTGTGTATGCTCACATATGTTGCCCACAAACAATTTGATGGTAGAGTATGTTTTATTAACTTGTGACATAAACATCTTTGTCGCTCATCTTTTGAATGTGATATGAAACCCACATTGTACGCCGTACATTAGTACGGGCCTAATTGTTGTTCAATAAATTTACATTTCAGCCTAGTACGGACAATTTTAGTTTGACTAAATTTATTAGTTTGACTTCATTTACATTCTATAAATTATTTATTAGTCTGACTAAATTTGGTATAATAAACTTAGTGAAAGAATACTTTTCTTTTAGCAAATTACAACAACTCAAACAAATTGAGCTCAGGGATAACTGTCAAACTTAATTATGGCTACATTTCATAGGCTCGTATGGAAAATCTATGGTATAAATGATGTGACCTAATAAAAGCCGTCTTTGAGGCATTATATGTTACAGCATATGCTGATATGCATTAGGGAGCAGAATGTCACAAAGCACGCCAAGCCACCTCTGCGTCACATCTCGATGTCATCCAGGTCGGGCAAAGGAAACCGAAGAATTGCAGCAATACCACTTAACTGTGTTAGTTCTGTATTTTCAAAACAATATTTCTCATCGATAAGCATAAATGACGAAATCAAATATGTATATAACTTTACACACACATACAGCTATATGGATATATACACACACACACACACACACATAGAATGGAGAATTAAAATTTGTGCCTACAGATGGAAACAACAAAAATCCACTTGTTCACCTCGAAATCAACTTTGGCTTTTTAGGTTCAGACATAATGCCTGTTACTTTAATAGTTTAATACTCTGTATAATACTGTCCTCCGTATCTCATTAATTGCAACATTGGAATATATACACTATTCATGTACTTTACTTTGACTACATTTTATTTATTAATGTATGTGAATTATTTTTTTTTTAAAAATGTTGTTAAATTCGTCTCATTACTAAGTTTTATAATCTAATTTTTATTTTATTTTTACTAATACAGAATTAAATATAATGACGGTCAAAGTTGTACGTTGGCAAACGTGAAATGTTGACTGTTGCAACTAAAAAGAGACGGAGGAAGTATATATGTACTTACGTTCTCCTGAGACATGCATAGAGGAAAAGATGTGTGCAGTGCCTCCTGAATTCTTGACTCCGTTGACCAAATTGGCATATTTTTTCCTCGTTGCTATATCAGAGTTCCTGACAAATACGCCATTCCATACCCTTGTTAGCAAGTACCACGGAAGTTCCTCAAAGGCTCAAACTACTATTTTGTGGTGTAGAATCTAAAAAGGTAACTAAAAAACTACATATTTTAAGTTTTATGCTTCGTATTTAACATCGGAAAAGTGAGTTTGGTTGTAGCACAGGGAAGTCTTTATTGTTTGTTTTAGAGCCTGTTAACTAAGGGTTATTGCTAGTAAGCTAATTTGTTGATATTCTGAAAGGAAGTGTTTGGCAAAGTGGATTTCAGCCAAATAGATAAGTCCAGCACTACTTATGCTGACCAGAAGCCGATTAAGGTATGGTAAGCGTTATTTGGCTAAAACGGTTAATCTGCTGAATTTTCTGAAAGGATAAGCCTTTAGTAAAATCAAATTCAGCCAAATAAGTAATTTGAGAGCAACTTATTCTGCTGAGACAGAACAAGTAGAATAAGACAAATCAGACTACTAAACAAGCTCTAATGTTGCCAAACACCACCAATGCTACCAAAAGCAGCCTTAATTTGACAGGTTACATACTACGTATTAATCAATGTATGGTATTAATCAAGTAGTAAAGAAACATAAATAAATGAATAATAACAATAAAGAGCGCTGCAAAACAGAGGCCAATTGTATATGGTCCAACACCAAACATAGTTGTCATGGCGCATGGCGATCGCCATGGCTCAAAGGCATTTTTCATGGCGCATGGCGATGAGGCATATATAAATGGCGCGTATGGCACTATGGCGACAACCACTTCTTCATGGCGATGGCGCATATGGCGCGCGCGATATCTCGCCATTGACTACTATGACACCAAAAGATGAAAAAACACACAGCTAAGAATATGATCATCACCAGTTCACCACCACCTAAGCACCAACTCATTAGAGTCAGTGGAACGAAATATATAATGCAAACTATTTGCTATGGCAAAGTTTATGTTGTTGTAAAGTTTATGTATAAGTATTGATAAAGACACAACATGTACGACAGAAAAACACCACATCAAACCAAAACTTACCTGAAGAGTTCATCTGTAATGAGAAGTGTTTGGATAGCCATTCGCTCATGAGCGACTTCAACATGTTTTGGTCCATAGCATGCACGATCAGGCTCCTGGCATAAATGATATTAGTAATAACACGTATTGATACATTAAATTACAAACATCACTTGAGCAACACAGAGCAGTAAACAAGAGCAACATAGATCAATGGTCAAGTCATACATTTGAAAGCATGTTGAAGAAATCCTTGAGGGCTTGTACCTATGTAAAATTGAGAGAATGAAGGTTGTTGCAGAAACTCCAAATTGAAGAACCCAAATATAGACTTGAATCGAAATAAAGTTGCTCATAACTAACAAAAAACGAAATACGAGAAGATAATTGAAAGTCAAGGTGCACAAAATTTTATACCTCCTTAGCCGCTTTAGTATCTTTAATCATACTCATTACATTGGGGGCATCCAGAACTTCTCTCAAACTATGCCTGTAAATCAATATTATGTGTTTAAAACAACAAGCTATGTTGAATGAACTTGGTTTTGCTAAAAGAGATAAACAACACAGTTCTTAAGGATGCACTTAAATTGTTCATACTGATCTAGATACTGTCAAAAAAATCTACAAACAAGTTCAAATGTTAGTTAAACATATACATAAGTTTTCTAAAAAATAAGTAGGATTTCAGGGCTTAAAAAGCTATGCCTGGCCAAAATAAAAAACTTGTACCATGACCAAACATGACTTTATTAAGAACAAAGGTAGTATATTACTATATCGGTGACTTACATTAAGACTATCAACATCATCTCCTAATAAGAAACTGGGCAAGAGAATATACTTGTATCCTGAGGTAGTATGTGCAAGAATTATCCGTGATTTGTTCTCGATTATAGGTCGCAATTGCTTCCTCTCTGCTTCTAACAGCAAATGACGGTGAAATTGATCCTGAAGTTTATACAAAAAATAGATTTATACACTGGACCACAATCCATATCAATGGCTAAAATACTAAAATCAGATTGATTATTCCCTGATTTATGTAGTTGCTTTTAAATAAAAATTAAAATAAGAATGAGTTCATCAAGATAACATCAGAACAAACATGGACCTTAGTGAATCCTGGACTTGCTATTACTGCACAGCGAACCAACTTGAAATCAATGTGCTTAACGAAAGCCTGAAAATAAATAAATCAATACTTGGGAGTTGGGAAACATAACGATGCTACCAAAAGGGATTCAACTACTGACAGACAAGGAAAGAAGAACTTCAAAACAACTTACATCCACAAGATTATTAAAGAACTTATTTAGAGCCTGCAAGGATAATAACAATAATATTAAATATTATAAAAATAAAAATAGCTTCACTTTGAGGGTTAAGTTAGTAGTAGGTTTAGTTGTGTATTTTAAGTCCCAAAAAAATCAGCTTGAAAGAATAAATAAAAGAATTGAGCTTTGAGATACTTTATCATAACCTGCTACAGCAGGGCCATGCTTCCGAGGAATTGAAGTCTCAATCCGGGTACGAGTAACTGTTACACTGTAAACATCTAAAATTTAGAATTTCATGGGGTGAAGGCACACAAGCAGACTTTGTTACCAATTGTGTGGTCAATTTGATGTCCACATGGTGAAAAATCTTTATCACACATAATATCTACTTATTTCAAGCTACAGCAGTATGTCTACAAAGGGCATATTCCAGGAAGAAAAGTACTTCCATAAATGCTGAAGTGCCAGGATCATAAACAAATATGTGTACCAATGATTGATTGTAGGCAACTAATAAGTGCAGTATGAGTATATCACATTATGTTAGATGCCATAAACTGAGTAAAATGAAAACTTGAAGATTTGAACGTTGATTTAGAGGATTAGCATCTTATATGGAAAGTTTTCAAGCATTACTACCTTTTACCAACTAGAAATATTTGTGCCAGACCTTCTTGCATCAAAACAACGGCCAGATCAGCACTTGCAGCAGGATCTAGCATCATTTTAAGAAATAAAACTCATCAGAGAAATGCTAAGACAAGAGGTTAAGGAAAAACAGGTTTCTATTTCATATTTGGACGAATTTACAACAAATGCAAAAGTAGGAACATGCATAGCAATTGAAATAAATAAAAAAGGGCACAGGCCCAAACAACCATTAGAGCGAAGTGTTTGTATTTCTAATTGAAGTAAAAGAGCGACAGTTTTTTAATGTTGAACCTAAGCAACCTCTCAGAATGTCAAATCTATTTCTCACGGCTAAAATAGCAATACGAATTGGAATTTTGGGCACAATCAGCTCATATATACTACTCCCTCCGTCCCCCTAACTTTGTCCCGTTTTACCTTTTTCGTCAGTCCCATTATGTTTGTCCCATGCCATATTTGGTAATATTTGGGTGGTTACAATTCATTCTTACTTTATCAATTCAATACCAACCACACAATTTCACTTTTTCTTAAAAGTTATGCCACACCCCTTTGTCCCAAACATAGTGGGACGGAGGTAGTAATATTTTTGCAGCTCATACAGTCGAACACTCTTTATGAGTCTTGAAAAGTAAAAGCTATAAAAAGGGAAATGTAGCAAGTTAGGAACGGAGGGGAGTAAGATAGAGTTTAACAAATTGTCAACAACTTGAATTATTTATGAGGGTAAAACATTTGATTATAATAAGAAAAATGTTTTTGCTAAACGGGCATAAAAAAACATACCCGAAGCTTGACGAAGAACCTCCAGGGCAAGTGAGTCCCAGACCTCCTAAATTGATGGGGAGGAGGATTAGCACTAATAAAACAGCAGATGTGGGAGAGAGATGCAAATATACCTTCCCCAAAATGAAAGGTCTGTGCAGCTCAATTTCTAGAGTGTGAAATGCCCCAATCTGCAATAGACATCACATAGTTTAGATTTCAGAAGTTGCATGATATGCAGATAGCTTCAAAGTTCAAACCAATTGTACAGATATCCAGTGCATGTGTGACCTAGTGAACTGATCTCTAATTAGGAACATTTCACTACAAAAAGACACCAATCCTGAATATGACCACAAACTTTAACTTGATTAAAAAATAAGTGGGACCTTATAGATATCAAACTCGTATATTGCACCGTTAAAACAGAAAATACAACTGATAAAGGCTACGGGCCAAATAAAAAGATCTATAAACAAGTAAGACCGGATATACAAGTAGGAGTGGTAGTAGTGATAATAGTAATAGTAGTAATAATAAGAACAAGGCGAAATTCATAACAATAATCCATACTTTTAGGGATTCTATAACAATAATCCCTACTCAAACTGTATATAAAAATAATTTTAACTAGTAATAGTGTCTACAAGAATAAATTGAGGTGAATTCAAAATGATGTCCTTTTAATACTATCAATCCCTACTCTAACTTCTCTCTTCACCGCTCTTCTTATCGAAGTGAATTAAAACTAAAACCCGTTTAATTTTAATGTCATTTCCGCCATATGTGGTTCTTTCTAGGATAGAAGATAGAAGTGTTACCTGAAAAGAAGAGTGGTGAAGGGGAAAGTAGAGGTAAGATTTGGGAGAATTAAATGGGAAATAATTTTAATTTACCTCAATTTATTTTTGTGGACACTATTGCTAGTTCAGATTATTTTTATAAATACTCTCAGTAGAGATTATTATTATAGAATCCCTAAAAGTAGAGATTATTTTTGTGAATTTCGCCTAAGAACAATAATAGAAATAATGAAATAATAATAAATAGAACAAAAAATGGATGCAATATAAGATATTCACTCCACAGCTAAGAGTAGCGCTTTAATTCTAAATACCTTAACATGTTCATTCTCCAGAATGTTCTTACCCCGTATACGCAAGGCAAAATCTTCTTTATCATACTCCACAGCCTTCATAAAGAAAATTCGAAAAAAGGGTTATATGGCCTCAAACAGAACTCATGGTATAAGACGGGAAAAACTTCCACCACCTACAGTTTACAGACATGGCCCCTATCACCAAATGGCAGTAAATGGATTTTAAATATGTGCCATCTAAACTGATGAAATGAAGTGGTTGTACCTCAACTTTTATCTGTAATTTTAATTTCACTCGCTCTGCTTCTCTTCCTCCAGAAGCAGACTCCCTTAAGACTTTCCTGCAAGAGATGATGAGCAACATAGTCAACAGAACTTTTGCAATTCCACCACAGGTAATGTTGTATATAATAATAATATAAGTTCAACAAAAGGGGAGACATAATAAAAAGCTAGACTGAAATATACTTCATATAGGATATGCTACAACCATAATTCTCCAGGTTTCGAACTACTTGGAACTCAGAAGTAAATAATAAAGTAATAATCAAATGCATATTGACACTCAATACTAATGAGATGTCTTTACCAATAATTGCAAACATGAAAAACAGTAGCAGCTAACTAGTTATTTGAACATATATGAAATCAAGCTGTTGAATGCATTATGAAACAGATGACTCGAGCGTTGGTGGAAAATAATTACATGAACAAATCAGGAAATAATTACAGCTTTTGTCTAACAAATACTTCAAGCACAACACTGTCAGGGATATAGTGACCCGGGCATCAAAGATGCTAAGAAACACATCAGAAAAAAATACTCACAAGATTTCATCAATTAGACTGAAGTGCTAATTTTGACGGTTAAGGGCATAAAAGTACCTAACAGTTGAAGCTAACACAGTGTCACCCTCCGCTATCAAATTATATACAATCCACAAATCGTCTGCTTCCTCAGCAACCATCTGAATAACAATAAATTGGCCCCAAATATGTGTATTTATTTCAAAATTGTTTATAGAAACAACTAATCTGAATGAACGAACCTGCTTTATAAACAAAACCCCTCAGGAAATTACCTTGATGCTACCAGGACCATTGCGAATGAAGTCTCTATGAACAACTTTCATGTTTTGTGAATTTATTCTATTTTGATTAAGATAAATCTCTTGATCCTTCTCCCTAGAATGATGAAAACGAAGCAAAAGTTTGGGTTAGTGTTAGGGCAATTCTATGGGCAATTCTCTTGATCCTGTAACTAATCAGTGTTCAGAACCCGATTCTAAAAAACTGATTCTAGGAGTATATTAGAGAACAGAATCACTTCTTCACTTCTGAATCAGATTCAAACACCCTAAATATTTATATGAAAAATACTTCGGTTAAATGTTAAATACAAACCACATCCAAGCCTTAGCCCTTAGTCCCAATTGGTTAAATGTTAAATATATCTAAAAAATAATTAAATTAAAATTTTAATTTTGAAATATGTAGAACTTGATATTGAGAATTTTTGTAAATCACTAGCCCAGAATATACCTTGGAATTGAAGATGAGAAGCACCGGCGGATAGATGATGGTTGGAGAAGATATGCTCTCTGGAAGAGAAGCGCCGCTCTAAAGGGTTGCGTCGGCGGGATATAATGGTAGGAAAAGAAGAGCTCCGGCGGGTGAAGAATTCCTACGTGTATAGGTGGTTTGCTTTGCGTATGGGTTCCGAAGTAAGGATGTTTCAAAGCCAAAATTCCCTAAACAGTAATAAAAGCTTTTAAAAAACCAAAATAAGTTGTTACGGTTTTATTACCTAAAATAAATAAGAGTGATTATTGTAAAGTTTTTTAAATATTGTCATCTTTCAAATTTTGTAGTCAAAATATAAAAATAATTACTCTTATTTAAGAAATAAAAATATAATAGTCATGTTTTAGAATACAACAACATTTTTACTCATATTTAAAGTAATTTCGCATGTTTTAATTGGACTATTTTTTCTCTCTTACCAAACAACATCAAACCATATTAAATTAAAGGGTAATTCCATTCACAGCCTTTAAATTACTAAATATAACCACTAATTAAAATTAATTTGAAATATCTAATTTAGCCTTACTACACACTAGTTTAGTTTTAGAGTGTCATTCAATCGACAACTCTAAATTATGAGAATCTCTCTAAACTCTCTCATGTATAACTTATGGATCATTTGTGTTCAAAACCCACATATTGTTTTTTTTGAAGGAAAAATGAGCATATTGTTAAGGAATCAAATCCCGAATACAATGTAGAGGAGTGTCATTCCAGCTCCCAGAAATCGTTTGAGAGCCAACGCATGAGCAACAACATTTGATGAGTGTTTGACATGAGCACAAATCTAAGAACCAAAATAGGACAGCATGTTATCCTCTCGATCGACAGCATTCTTCAGAACTAGACGATCTGTTTCAATCACCACGTTCGCATCGCCTCTATTTATCAACCAAGACATAGCCTCCTTACAAGTCATAGTTTCAGCTAGCAAAGGATCTTGATGACAATTAAGATAATCATTCTGGGCTGCAATAAATTTGCCTTGATCGTCTCTCAAAATAATCCCATAGCCCACTTGTCTTGTCCGGGGGAAGATAGTTGCGTCGAAGTTGCATTTAATCATACCTTGAGGCGGCAGGCACCAAGTTGAAGAAACAAGTACAGATGCTTGATTAGGAGTTCTTGCTTGCTCCCACGAGCTGCATAATGCCATTGCCGAGTGAATGGTACGTGTAGCATCCCAGGATTGCCCCCACCAAATATAATTGTTCATGTTGCACCAGATAGCCCAAAGTAGGAAACAAGCTTCCAGGAAATTAGTCTCGTAGCTACAACAACGTTGCATCTAGCCCCCCAAGTCTTCGTCCTCCACTGGTTTGCTTATCCCATTTGCTGCCATAAACATTAGATATGTTACAATGTAAAAAGATATGACTTGTCGTTTCTGGCTGCAGTCCGCACAACGGGCATAAGATAGAATCAACCTCTAGATCTTGTGCTACCAAGGCTGTTCGAACGGGGAGAACATTTCGAAGACCTCGCCAAATAAAATTTTTAACATTAGGAGGAAGTTTTAGTTTCCACAAATGATTCCACCATTTGGAGTGACCTTCGGGTGCTTCAAATGATCTAGAGAGGTACCAGTATCCACCTTTGACAGAATATTCTCCCCTTATATCATTTTTCCAATACCAGTGATCATCAAACATGGGGCTAATCGGAGTTTTAAGGATTAAATCAATATCTCAGGGGGGTGCTGGAAACAAGTTGCTCGTTCCAGCCATCATTGATCATTAAATTTGAGACGGTGGTATGTTCCATTCCTGAAGGTGAGGGTGTTTCAACCCAAGGTTTATCGTCTGAAAACAACCACGGCGAGGACCAGATGTTCGTTTCTTCCCATTACATATTCTCCTTCCAAGTCTATCTGCCAGCATTTCCTGAGTAGTAAAGATGCTTCGCCATGCAAAACTTGGATATGGCCCAAACTTTGCCTCCAAAAAAGACTCATTTGGAAAACACTTAGCCTGAAATAATCGAGATACAAGTGAAACCCCACATTATGTTGATTGCTTCATTTTATTCGAAATCCATTTACGTTATGTGTAGCTTATGATATAAGATGCCAACATTGTATTTATACTTCAAGTTCAATCAACTCGATACAAACTATGCAAAAGTAATTGTGGAATGACGGTGCACCATGATAGGGTGTAGTGATGTTATATTTATAATAAACGGAGAATATTAAAATTACAAAATATGTCCCAGTGTTATATATTATTACACCCCCTCAATATGTGCAGGGGAAACAATGTGCGGATTGGAACGTAAAAACTCAAAAAGCTGACTAGATAATTTTTTAGTAAAAATGTGAGCCAGTTGCAAATGAGTAGGAACATATTTGACCACAAGATCACCGTGAGCAACTCGTTCACGAACAAAATGGTAGTCAATTTTGTCGTGCTTGTTGTGATCATGCTGAATGGGATTGACGGCCAGATAAGAAGCGGAGACGTTATCACAAAGCAGCTGCACAAGATTAGAGAGATGAATACCCATTTTTGTCAGTAAGGAACGAATGAATAGAGTATCTTGGACAATGTATGCAATTGCGCGGTACTCTGCTTCAGTAGAGGATTTGGAAACCGTTGACTGCTTCTTGGACCTCCAAGAAATGAGATTGGATCCCAAGAAAATAGCATATCCAGTGGTAGAGCGACTGCTATCTGGACAATCTGCCCAATCAGCATCAGAATATGCCATAATAAGAGATATGTCCCGATCCGTCTGCAACCATAAACCATAATCCGTAGTGCCCTGCAAATATCTATAAATACGCTTCACATCCGAAAGATGAGTAGTATGTGGTGCATGCATAAACTGGGATACCAAATGAACAGCATAAGTAATATCAAGTATAGTCAAAATCAAATACTGTAAAGCGCCTATCATACTGCGATACTCAGTAGCATCAGTGAGTAGTTCTCCATCTGTGGAAGACATTATAGTACGCGAAGGCAAGGGAGTACAGACGGATTTAAGAGTGTGAAGATGAAACCGACGTAACAAATCCAAGATGTATTTTTGCTGAGAAACAAATAAACCCTTAGACGTACGTCGAGTCTGAAGACCTAAGAAAAAATGGATGCCCCCTAAGTCTTTCATAGCAAACTGAGTAGATAAAGACTAAATGATGGACTTTATAAGTGGAAGAGATGAACATGTGATTAAAATATCATCCACATAGAGTAAAATATATACGACTTGACATTGTTGTCGAAAAACAAACATAGAAGAATCTGATTTACTCTGAGAAAAACCATGCGACAATAGAAAACCATTGAACCTGTGAAACCAGGCTCGAGGAGCCTGTTTAAGACCATATAGCGCCTTTTAAGGCGACACACGTGATGTGGATAAGAGGGATGAATAAAATCCGGCGGTTGCCGCATATAGACTTCCTCAGTGAGATGACCGTGTAGAAAAGCGTTTTAACATCTAATTGACGAATACTCCAACCAAGAGAAATAGCAATGGATAAGACAAGACACACGGTGGTGGGTTTAACAACAGGACTAAATATTTCAGTGAAATCTATACCGGCCTGTTTCTCAAACCCTTGAGCTACCAAACGAGCTTTGTGACGCTCAACAGACCCATCCGAATAATATTTTGTCCGGTAAACCCATTTACACCCGACTAAATTTTTAGTGCCATCCCAAGGTACCAAATTCCATGCTCTATTAGCAATTGAAGCATTAAATTCATCAGTCATGGCAGCCCGCCAAATAGAATGTTTTTGAGCTTGAGTAAAACAGGTGGGATCATCCGGGGGTGAGAGAACACTAAGATTAAAAATTGGTTTGGGTTTGAAAATGCCATCTTTGGCACGTGTCCGCATAGGATGAGTGTTTAACGGTAGAGGAATAGACGTATGGACACTAGATGATGAGATTGGTGGACTGGCAGGTGGAGAAGGACTGGGTTCGGGCACTGATGGTGGACTGGTTTGGCCTAAGGTGAGGTCGTCTCCCGACGAGTAACTAGGTGGACTTGAGCTGGGAGTGGGACTATGGGGGCTCGGAGACTGGACTGGGGAAGGAACCTCTGGCAAGGAGAGTGGTGTTTGTCGGGTTGATGTGAAAGGAAGGAGGGACGAGGCTGCAGCTGGACTGGTTGGAGGGTTGTTATGCGTTGGTGGAGGACTAGCACATGGGAGAACGTGTGGCGTGGGGAAATGGAAAGATAAGGATGAGGGACAACTTGCGGTTGTGGCAAGTTTGGTCTTGGAAATTATTTGAGAATAAGGGAATTCATCTTCATGGAATTGGACGTCTCTACTAATATAGACTCGACCAGAAATAGGTTCTAAACATCGGTAACCTTTATAACCCGGGGCATACCCAAGAAAAACACAACGAGTGGAGCGGGGCGAGAGCTTATTGGGAGACTTCACAATAAAATTGGGAAAACAGGCACACCCAAAAATTCTTAAAAAATTAAAATCTGGAGATTTATTAAAAAGCTTTTCAAAAGGAGTTATATTATTTAAAATTGGCGTGGGTAAGCGATTGATAATATAAGTACCTGTATATAGAGCATCAACCCAAAAACTAGAAGGAATGAAGGATTCAATAAGCATAGTTCTAGTGAGTTCAAGAAGATGTCTATGCTTGCGCTCAACCACTCCATTTTGAGTCAGGGTTTCTGGACATGATTTTCTAAATAAAATGCCTGATTTTAAAAAATGATTATTAATATTGGAATTGTCAAATTCGCCACCACCATCACTTTGAAAAGTTTTAAATTTCCTATCAAAAAGATTTTCAACTAGATTTTAAAAATTACAAAAATGAGTAAATACTTCAGACTTGCGCCGCATCGAATAAATCCAAGTGTATATAACGGGAGTAATCATCAATAAAAGAGACATAGTATTTAAAACCAAAATTAGATAAAACTGACGATTGCCAAACATCAAAGTGAATAATTTCTAAAGGTGCAATACAAGAATGAGTAACATCCTTAAAAGGAAGTCTGTGGGATTTACCCAACTTACAAGAAATACAACTATGATTAATACTACTAGAAACAGAAATTAAATTATTTTGCCGAAGTCTTTGTAAAACTCTATCACCACAATGCCCCAAACGTTTGTGCCAAGTGGTCCCAGAAACAAGAGTAGCTTGAAGAGCACGGAAAGGATAGAGATGGTCTTTATTGGAAGC